ATCAAAATCACACATCTAATTATTTATCACTTACATAAACATTATTTCATTAATTATTTAGATGGTGTCTGTTTCTGCTTTTCAGCAGAAATCAAGCCGTTGGCAACATAATTCATACCGTTGGGAGCAACAATTTTGGATCAATTCTCTCATTGTAAGGCTGTAGGTTTGAAAAAAAACGGTAACATTATCAATTTTCCTTCCTCCTTGCAGCGCGCCCAGACACGCTCTTAATTAACCAAAAAAATTACATCTTTATTGATAACAAATTAATTCTTAAACAAAACTATTAAATATAAACTAAGCAAACGTGCATCGCACGTTGCTTGTACCTAGTATATATATAAGCCAATAAGCTATGCGCTATAATTTAGGTAATTTAAGACAACAAACAGAAATCATAACGGAATTCAATTCGGTAGAGCGCCCTTGAAAATTTCCGTTTGAAACTTGAAATTTGAAAGTCAATCAATTCATTCAGACAAAGAAAACACTCATTGTAGTTGCATATTGCAAAATAAATTCTGGAAAATCGAGACGTGATTTCTGGTTATAAAGCTGGAGTGGAAGGAGATTTTATTATTTCTGTGAGTTTGACGAAATACCAACTGAGAATATTAAAGGTAAGATTGTTGATACTTTATGAAACTTTAAACTTTATAAAACTGGAAAAGCTGATTATTTAATTGTTAAAATCTTCAATGTCAAATCATCAAGAAAATTAATAGTGCCGAACATACCTTAATTTTTTGAGAATAATTTCTTATTTTTGATTCTTGATTCTGGATCTTGAATCTTGATTATTGCTCTTTTGAGTTCTTGATCTTGATTTTTGTTTTTTGTTCCATAATCTTGATTGTCTCGTTCTTCAATTTAATTGTTTCAATCCTTTTTTATTCTTGATTGTAATCTAAATTCTTGATTGTGGGTTTCTTGATTTTTCTTTTCAATATGCTTTTTCTATTAATTATTGTGTTGATGGGATGACACAAAGAATGAGAAGTTACATATGAATTGAAGATCATAACTCTATTTGTTGTTTTCATATGTATTTGTGTTATCGTAAAATACGAGCCCTAAGCTCAATAATTTATTTTATTAGATCACTTTAATTGAGCTCAATTTAAGACAACCTTATACATAATTAATTACATATGTATGCCCACATGCCAAATTAATAAATCAAAGAAAGATGTCATATATGTATACTTACGCTATTTAATGATTAGAAATTCACATGTTGTCGAAAAACCAATGTTGTCAAAATCGGCCCGGCCCAGTTGGTAAAATCAGGAACCGGACCCAAAATCGGGTCAAATGATGCTCGGTTAATGGATTATTACAAAACCACTAAAAAACCATTGAACCAACCGATTCAACCGTAAACCGGTGAACCGGTCACGATTTTGAGCGGTTTTCTCAATTTTTTTTTAATTTAAAATTTTTTTTACCTTAATGAATGAGCTTCATAAATTACAATTCTAAAGCCCATAAAAAATCATTGGATGTCATGCTCATTTTATAGATGCACTTCTCTCAAATGGTTTCATAAACTTCTAATGTGGGATAATGTATTTCATAGATGCTCTTCTCTCCAATGGTTTCATAAATATTCAATGTGGGATGATAACATAACAAAAAAAATGTTAAAATCATTTTCCAAATGTATGTCTAATTAACTAATTTGATTTTGAATCCCAACTAATTAAATTGTAATATTCACCTTCATCATTTCATTTATTTAATTTTCAAATTTAACTTAAATTACACTTGATTATTATATTAATGTTAGATATCATTTTCTATAAGTTTAAACTATTTTATTTTAACAAAGTAAATTATTTTAACATATTGATTTTTAATTTTTGAATTATTAATATGAAAATTTTAAAAAAATTTATTTTTTTCATAGTATTTTATTATTTTTGTATTTATTTATTGCATCCGGTTCGATCCCGGTTGAATTTTTTGACCATTGACTCTTCACCTTTTCCAGATCGATGACCGGGTCGATTTTCAAAACATTGTGAAATACATACAAACTCCATAAGTGATGTTGTTTTGCGTTCGGATGAGACTCGTGAAAACGATCCCATGAACTTCAGCGCACTGTTTTTAATAAATTCCATGTTAGCTGCCTTGGTAAAATTATAGGCGTGATTGATTGTTATTTGTAATAATTGATTTTGTATTTTACAAATTTGAAGTAGTGATATGGGGCATATACAAACTTCACCCTCGGTCATGAGTCCTTATTGCTAACAAAATTGTTTCGTTGTATAATCTTCGAGTAATAAAACATTTGTATCATATGCCTCTTCGCAAATTTCATACCGGTTTTAATATAATTATGTTATAAATATTATGTAGCATATGATGATATAAATCTGCTAGATGTTAGGTCTGTATTTAATGGTCGAATGGTTTGGATATGTTATAATTGAGAAAGAAATGGTTGAACTACTAAATTATTCAAATTTGATTAATACTTTTGCTTTTAGAATCTCAAGGCTAATGGCATTTAATTGATCGTTTGAAATATTTTTATTTGATTATAATATAAATATTTTGTATAATACATTTCGTTTGGTATTTTACTGTTAAATTTTAAGTTAACAAGCTAACAATTGATTCCATAACACACATATCGATTTTTCGTATAAACTACACTTTTCGAGGGTCTAATTTATGAAATTTGACTCAGACCTCCAAAATCATAGGATCGGCACTGCTATAGCCTGTCTGCCCTATTAAAAAACAAGACAACCCAATATTTGAATGAATATATTTAGGCCCAGTTTGAACCTCATTTTTCGGGAAAAATAGATTTTGAAATAGTAAAATTTTGAAAAATGTGTAATTGAAAAATATGGGAAAAAAAAATTTGAAATTACTTATTAAATTATTTTTTGAAAAAATATAATTAAAAATAAATTTCAGAAAAAATAAGCTTTTAGCCCTATTGATTTCCATCTTTGGCACAAAATGTATTATGAAATAATGTTTTTTTTTGAGAATGTGTGATTAAAAAATAAAAAGATATTTTTGAAATATGTGTATAAGTATTTTATATCAGAATGTGTGATTGAAAATGAATTTAAGAAAAAAAATGTATTATCGAAAAATGGAGGCTCAAACATGGACTTAGTTTCAAGAAGAAAGACCATGAAGTTTGTGAGTCGTTCAGGCAACTTTAGTACACTCAGTGAGTCTGACTCAACTCGAGTTTGTGGAGGAGAAACAAGTTTGCAAATCCTCTGTAATCTAATAAAAAGAAAACAAAAAAGTGAGAAGGGCTGGTGGGCAGCTTCTGGATTAGGAATATCAGCCACCATATTGCTGCCACGTGGCATCATCATATTGATATTGGACTCACTTTGTCAACTTTCCTCCTACCTCTTGGCTCATCTCCAGCCTCAAATTAATTTTCAAATTTCTATTTTTTTCACCTGAATTACTAGTGGCTCTCGCTTTTTCCTCAATAAAAAAAAAATCAAAATAAAACCTCCATAGCCTACTCCTTTCTTTCTCTTCTACTCCCTTCTGCTACATTTTTGGTGTTCATTCAGTTTAAGTCACAACTCAGAAATGTTCGATTTTTAATTAATTGATTAACTCGCAGATAAATTTCATCAATATTCCGATCTGAACTGCGCCAGGGCTATCATGGAAGGTACCTTTTATGGTTTTGATTAATTTGTTGTTGCATATTGGTGATATGAATTTGATTAAATTTTGCCCATTGTATTTGAGCTTACTGATTGAACCCTTTTTTTTTTTTCCTTTTTTTGGAATGGATTGAACTTGAAAGGTTAAAGCAACAGGCGGTTCCTTTTGGTGAGGATTCTCGATAAGGAATTAACTCCTACTTGTGTTTAACTACTAATACTAGTACTTCTTTCAGATTCAGAGATGCGTCTGTCTCCTTCTCGCCATACACACAATCATATATGACTACTTTAAATTAATTAAAAATTTAAATATTTATCAGATGAGGAAATGATTATTGGGAAATGGTGGATCTGCGTCAAATCTTTTTGTTACTTATTTTTTTGTTTTGCAGTTGTCGGGTGTCCATTAACACCACCACAACGGCCAAGCTATTTAAATTTGTGGTTTTTAGTGCTGAAAGGAAGCATCCTCTGTATTTGAAGCAGCCTCCTGCTCCAGTATTTAGATGGACCCTTATTCGTCTGGAGAAGAACTTGTTGTCAAGGTCTCTACTACAACGGCTATATCGATCCTTTTACTTTAATTTTAATATTTGTAATCCTTTCTGGTCCTTTTTACTCATAGCTTGAGTCACAGTTCTTTGTTTAAAGTGCCATTATATTTACTTTAATGGCAGTCAAGGAAACCTTATACAATCACTAAGCAACGTGAACGATGGACAGAGGAGGAGCACAATAGGTTTTTAGATGCTCTTAAGCTCTATGGACGTGCTTGGCAGCGCATAGAAGGTTTCTATTTGTTCAAATTTTTATATCTGTTGATTTTCTCACTATTAATTTGTGGCTGCAAATTATTTTAGATAATTAAAGCATGTTTTTTTATGATAATCAGCTTCAGTTCAAATTTTTAGCATCAGATAATGTACTTTTGTGATTTCTGCTTAATTTATTATATCTCCTTTAGGAGAGTTATATTTCTTGGATATATTCTCTTAATTAGAGTCCTGTTTTTCCTCCTCCTTTTTCCGTTTATATGTCCTGGTGCGCAGAACATGTAGGAACCAAGACTGCTGTGCAGATCAGAAGTCATGCACAGAAATTTTTTACAAAGGTCAATTGCTACCTTCTCATGCTTTCTTATATTGGTATATAAAGGAACTTCTTTGTGCTAGGACCTGGCTCAAATTCATGGCGGGGACAATACATGCCTGATATTTGCATTTGAAAGTGTTTAAATGCCGTTCTCTAATCCTATATATGTATATTATTACTTATGTATTCTGTAGTGTGCATTATAATGTTCTTGCAATTGTTGTCATTTCTTGTACATGGAAACTGGAATACTAATTAGAACATGAATTTGTTGATATTTTACCTGAATAATTGTAACGACCCGAACTTCTATACCCAAGTCGTTATTTCATACATATTTTCTGTTTTGGGAGAGTATCGGTCTATCTCACCCCTGACGAATTTATATCGCATTCCCGAGGATTCGAACCTGAGTCCTCTATATTGTGAGAGACTTAAGTCGAATCGTAATACCAATTAGGCTAATTGCTCTGAACTTTATACAGAATTGTACCATAATTTAACTTAAGTCTATTATAAAGCAGAAGTCTTGAATTTGAATTTTGGAGGATACAATAGAAATTCTTGAGTAAGATATGTTGAGGCTCTCCCAATGCGGATCGTACTATGATACATTAGCTTGGGCACAGAGATCAAATAGTTACAATAATTACTATATTCATACATATTAAAATCTCACATCACATAATTATAAAAATAATAATCAATGTATAACAATTTGAGCTACTACTCTTAGCCCTTGTTTGATTTAGCTAAAAATCATATTTTTAGTAGATTTTTTCTTTTCAAATGAGGCACAATCTTGCGAGGCATGTTAGTTAAAATCCCAAATTGCTTAAATATGGAAAAAAAAAAAAAAAAACATAAAGGTTGGGAGGTATAAACGAGTCATTACTTCGTTTACACCAAATCAAAAATTTTCCCCCTTATTTTGCCATTGTTATGACTATTTTGTAGTACAAGCCTAAATAGTTCTTCACTCATTGATGTGATATAGATGCTTTAACAATTTCATAAGCTAAATTCTACCTTACAAGTTTTTTTTTTAAAACTTTTTCTATATCTTCACTAAATTCAATATATGTCTAGGACCAATAGGAATATCAAGTAAAAAATATTTAGTTAAATTAAGATTTCTAGATATGTGACGATTAGAAGAGGTACCTATGTTGCGTGGAGTTTTTATGCTCATTTTTTTTCCAGTTGTTGAGAAAGTCGTGACTTGTTCCCCTTTAAGATTTAGTTATATCTTGTTCACACTCAAATGGAGTGATATGATCCAAAGGAGAAGAATGAGAAATTTCAGGGTTATTATCATACCCTGAACAATAAGAGACTCGTGGGAAACTTTGAGCAATACAGTACTCATGATTAGAAGAATGAACACGAAAAACTATGGGAGAATTGTGAAATAGAAGATTGAACAACAAGCAATACATTCCAAAATGGATCTCTTCAATTTCCTCTTGAAGATAAATTTTGGTGAAAAAACAGTTCTTTAAAAAGGTAATGCACATGCATAAAATTAAAAAAAATAAAAAAAAATCTTTGGAGGGTGATGATAATACTAATAACCTTTTGGGTAGGTGAATAACCTAGTAAAACACATCTAAGAATTATTAGATCCAACTTTCCTCTTTTATGACAATGAGCACATGGACAAATGAAAGGCAACTAAAAACTTTAGATGGAAGAGAACAAAACAGATTTAGATATTGAATACAAGTTTAAGGATATTGAGAGGTGTTTTAAAATTCAAGACTCTTCATGAAATTCTATTGATAAGTGACTCTTAATGGCATTCTATTGATAAGGTAAGATGTATTAGAAATAGTTCCACCCTGAAATTGTTTTGGAACCCTCAGAAAACATTATAGCTTTAGCTACCTTAAGAAGATGTCAATTTTTTCTTGCAGCAAAACCATTTTGTTATGGAGAATCCACACAAGAACTTTGATATACAATCTCTTCGGCAAGATATGAACCCAGAATTCATGCATTATATTCCTTCCTATTTCCACTTCGAAGATTTTGAAGGTTGGCTTCGAATTGAAGTTTTAATCATTTGATGAAAAATGATTTGATTCGAATTTTTCTTTTGAGTGCATAGAACCAACACACAGGAGTATGATTTAATGAATATAATTAAGTAATTAACCATGTAGTCTCAGAGACATTAACAACATGAGATGGTCCCCAAATACCACTATAACTTTATAAGTAAGAAAATTTTGCATGAAATTGAGCATGATGATGTTTTGACAATTTGCATATTTCACATTGCTTGTGGCGAAGAATTTTATTCTGAAAAGAAGTAGGAAGTAACATCTTTAAATCCTCTCTAAGTCCAAACTCCCTCTATTGCAATTAAGGAATCCTTGTAACCTTTCATTTATGGTTGGTTTATTGTCTTCTTCTGTGGATGTGGGTTTCATTGAGCCCTTTGACATAAATCCATGTTAATTTCCTTTATTATTCTTCATTATTCTTTTTTTTTTTTCTGTTGATGTGCGGATTTGCTGTTATATGTGATATACTACTGATTATAGCAGTTTGTTTGATTGAATCTGGACTTATTATGAACTACAGCGACATGTTCCTTTGTATCTCTTTAGGAAAAGTATAACCTTGTTTATTTCAACCGTTCTCTGGTTACTTTGACTGCCACCAATTGTATCATTGTCAGTAGTTTTATTTTTTGCGGTTCACAAAGTTTTTCTTACTTTAGTTGATCTTGGAACAATATTATAAATCATCATCATCAACACCTAATAAAATGATAAACAGGGGAGGTGATTTAATAAATTTCGTAGTTTGATGACACTGTTGCTTGCTGTTCATAGAAGATTACGGTGTTGTGCCACTTGATACAGAGTCTATGGAATCTTATTGATTCACTGCCTGTCACCTATACTTTCATCTCTGGTTTGTCATCCCATTAGCTATCATTTTTTTCCTTTTATTTCTTTTTCTATTTCCTGAGAAAGGGGAAGGGGGTTGAGCTGCAAATCAAATCAAACACTTCTAATTAGCATGCAAGAAAAGGGAAAGGGGGTTGATGCTGGAGTGTAGTGGATAATGGTTTCATGTTTTGTGTGAAACAATGTATTTCTGTCTCATTCTGATAGCAATGAGATAAACAGATAACTGGGAACTAGAGAGGTAAAGCTTTTGGAGTAATTAGTTCAGAAAGGAGTTCTGAATTTTTTGGACTTGAAGATGGTCAAATTATTAATTATGTTACATACATACTCTAATTTGCATCCGTACATTAGGATGATAAAGGATGACAACAATGGAGAAACGTGATACCACAATGCCTTGACATCTTGAGATTTCATTGAATTTGAAAATCCCAATGAATGGATATTCATTTAGTTTTGTCCCTGGTTGGTGCATGAGGTTGTATCAAAGCTAATTTTTTTTAATGGAAACCCTATTATAATTCTACTGCATAATAACAACTTTGACCAGGATAATGGTGTTTTCCCAGTCGTGTCACACTTCAGAAATGATCATTCCAGAAATCTACTTATACCGCATGTCAAGCTATTTATTTTCTTCCTCTTCAAGATTTTGCTTTTTGTACTTAGACGATGTTTGCAAACATTCAATCTATATCTTTAAAGTTTTTGTTCTGTGGATCCAGCTAGAGAAAGAGGCTCTTATTAAAGGAGTTCCAGTAGGACAAACTGACATTGAGATTCCTCCTCCACGTCCTAAAAAGAAACCAAGCAATCCTTATCCAAGAAAAACAAGTGGAGGAGCTCCTACTTCACAGACAGAAATGAAGGATGAGAAAATGTCGGCCCCTGTTTCTTCTTTGTATGTGCATAAAACCACACTAGACTTGGAGAAAGAACCAGTTCCTGATGAGGTATAGTCTTTCTTTTTGTTGGAAATTTTTTTGGTTATTTCTTAATTCAATTCAATGGGTGTATGTTTCCCAGTTACACACTTCTTCTTTTTCTTGTTTCTGTTGGACTTCTCTTCCAAGATAATTATTATGATGCTGATTATTTTCTTCAATTTTTCCTTTATTTAACAGTTTTCTCCCTCTAATGTGCTATTATGCCAGAAACATGGTGATGATGGAAAGATGGGAAACGCTAAGCAGTACCAAGATAAGGACATTTGCTCTGGGACCGTGACCCTTCTCAAGACAGTTCCTTGTACCTCCCCATCTTCAACAAACAAAAGTTCTTTGACAACATCAGTTGGACCTAAAAACTCATACTGCGAATTTCTCCTGAGCCCTAAAGAGGCAAATAATGAGGATGAAACGACTGAATCCCATATCACCATTGAACACAAAGGACATCAGAAAGATAAGTTTGATAACAGCAAGCTGTCTCAGGATTATGGCTTATATAAAACTTCAAACTTTGGAAATGTTCAACTTTTACATGAGAAATTTGTACAAGGTAAAGGACCAGATGAGCTGAATCGTTCCAAAAATGCTGATGTATTTCCAAACAATGATGTTCAAGCCTCTCTGCACTATCCTCGACATGTTGCAGTTCAGATTCTTGATGGGAACTCAAGAATGAATAACACTTCCCCAGACACACAATATACAGAACCTATGTTTCATCAAATGGGTGGATTTAATGGACACCCGAATCTATTCATGAATCCTACTTCATCTGCTGCTTCTGAACATCAAAGTAATGGATCGTCTTCCATTCATCAATCATTTCCTAGTTTCCATCCAATATCGAACCCAATCCACAATCAAGATGATTACCAATCATTTCTGCACGTGTCATCTACATTTTTTAGTCTTATTGCATCTGTTCTGATACAAAATCCAGCAGCGCATGCCGCTGCAAGCTTTGCAGCTACGAACTGGCCATGTAGAAACATGGAAGCTCCAGCAGACCACCCTGCAGAAGGATTTCAGTCAAGGCAGATAAGTTCAGCTCCTAGTGTGGCAGCAATTGCTGCAGCTACAGTAGAAGCTGCAACTGCATGGTGGGCAGCCCATGGCTTACTCCCATTCTGTGCGCCATTTCACTCGGGCTTTACTTGTTCTCCGCCATCAGCATCGACAATTCCAATGGATACTAGTAAAGATAGAGCAGCTAATACTGAAAGAGGAGAAAACCCTCCTGATCCTGCCCCCTTAGGCAGTCAACAACTAGAACCAGTGTGCTCTGAGGCTTTGCAAGAACAACATTCAGCTTTGAAGTCACCAAAATTATTGTTGTCAGATTCTGTGGAAAGTGAAGGTGCAAAGCCGAATGTTGGATTAACTACTACTGAAACTGAACAAACTGCAGATGAAGCTATGCTGAATGATTCGAACAAGTCAAACAGCAGAAAGCAGGTGGACCGCTCTTCATGTGGATCCAACACACCTTCCAGCAGTGAAGTAGATGCGGATGCTTTGGAGAACCATTCTAAAGGAAAAGAAGAGAAGAATGTGAAAGATAAGGAGTCAAAAGAACCTGATGTAAATCATTTAGCTCTTGACTCCACTAGTCAACGTTGTAGAAGCACCAGCAATATAAGTGATTCTTGGAAGGAAGTGTCTCAAGGGGTAAATGAATTTTTTTTATATAGATAAATATGCTTGTTGTCAATATGAGTGTTTGAAATCATTTCTTTTTTCTTTTTCCTTCTCTCTATCCATTTCATATGCAGGGACGACGGGCTTTTCAGGCTCTCTTCTCTAGAGAAATATTGCCACAAAGTTTTTCCCCACCCCATGATTTAGACAAAAAGGATTTCATAAATATCGATAAGGATATAGAAAGTGCACAAGAGAAAGAAGAAGATGGATTGCAGTTAGACCTTAACAATAAGATGTGGGGTACTTCTTCTCGGAAGCTAGGAATGGAAAATAATGCTACTTTGATTGGTGAAAACAAAGAAGAGGGGCTCCTGAGTATGGGACTTGGATATGCAAAGCTAAAAGCTCGTCGAACAGGGTTTAAACCTTACAAAAGGTGCTCGATGGAAGCAAAAGAGAGCTGGGCACAGGCCAATGGCCAGGAAGAAGAGAAAGGCCCCAAGAGAATACGCCTAGAAGGAGAGGCTTCTACCTAATGCTTCTTCTGATGTCGCAAGCATTTTCCTCCTTGTCATCTAGTACCAATAGCATTTAGTTTATTTATGTAATATGAAGGATACAAAAAGATCACTTGTAATATGAAGGACACGAAAAGATCACTTGGGACTTGGTTTTTTTAAAACTGTGCAAAGGCAATTTAAAAACCTTCTTGGATGCTCCTCTCATCAGGCCCCTTTTCCTTCCCATATCATCTGTTGAAGAAAGATCTATTTACTTTTCTAATATCCTTCCTAGTACTCTCTTTCAGGTTTTGTGTAGTGTCTTTTGAGTAGCAACTGGTACAGATTAAGAAAACTTGAAGGATGAAGGTATAATTAATGTGATTTGGGGTTTTTGTAGTTTAGTTACTAGAGTTCTTTGGTGGTATCGAGGTGGAAGAGTTCTTAAATTTGGTTGATTGCAGTTTTATTAGAGCACTGGTTTTTCGATGATGTGGTAGTTTCAGTGCTCGAGGAGATAACAAAACTATATCTGCGCTCATCAATTGAGGCAGAGTATCCAAGTTTAGCAAGTCTTGTGCTGCTATCGTTGTTGAAGACCAATCCAGTCACACATGCCTGTGCAAAGAATATCCCACCAAATGCACAAATTAAGTTTAAAATCCTTGAGTCGGGAATAGACTTTATATAATGATATTACTCTGTCCTGTAAACATAATACGAAAGAAAAATATGGAATGCGCTCTCTTAATTTCTCAGGAAAGAAATCAACTTCACTATGTTGATTATACAATATCTACTCGTATGCAGTTCGAGTTGCAATCTCTATCTAGTTTCATCCGTCTCTGTGGGAACAATCTGCTTCCCAGTCTCTTCATTGTTGCTTTTTCCCCAAAGAAGAACATACATACCCACAATTACTATAATGGATCCCAAAATGCTGTTCAAAACAAATACAAAATTAGTTTAAGTTTGATAGTTGTAAACTAATTTATAATAGAAACAATACAAATAATTCAAGACAATATGCTAATTATGTATATTGATTAGTCATCAAGATATAGTTGTTCAATTACTTATATTAATGGGTTCCAAATTCTAGAGTTTGCTTCCTCTTGAGTCTAGATGGATATGGCTTATTAAACTTCATAACACACATTTTAAGATCCACCCCACCCCAACACAAAAGTAATGCATGATTAAGTAATATTTTAGATTTTAAGAGAATCAATTTTAGTTGGGTCGAATAAATAATTGATTGCGGGAAGCATATATTTGGCTTCTGTTTAGAAATTATTTATAAACACTACAGTCACTTTTTATTCCTACATTTCGTGGGAATTGCAAATGCTATCCATTTATCCACAGTACTCATTTCTATCTATTTATAGCTCAAATTGTGTATAACAACTCCCAAACATGCTTTTAGTGTTTAATAAACTTTTATGTCATTTTCGCTCTATGTTTAAAAATCAGTATTTGAGTGTGTGGTAGTGCGTATGCCATTACTAAAATGAAAACGATTATAATGATCTCATAATGCATTATTATTATTATTGGTCTAATTATACTATTTATTCTTATTTTTATAACATGATATATAAGTAAATATTTATATAAGACGGTGTTATTCGCAGTAGTTATTTTAAAAGGGAAAAAATTTATATTTACTTGAACTCTTATTTTATATGATTTAAACTAAAAGTATAGTGCATAATATAGAAAGAATTCAAATTAGACTTAGAATACCAACAACTTAAACACAAATTGGAGAAGGTAAAATTGGAATATGAATGTTTCTCAAACATAGTTTATATTATTTTTGCATAAAATCTTATTGAAATTCTGCTTAAATTAAATCAAAGTGATTTTCTCAAAATATGTATAAGCTCACCTGCCAAGGTAAATTTCCTGGTGCAATATTGAGACATCAAAAGCAGCAGCAAAGATTTGTATCAATGGACTAAATGCTGAGGTGAACACAGGTCCCCTTTGTTTCACACACCATGACATCACCACATAGCATAGTCCTGATGCTATAATTCCCTGATATCAATCAGTTCAAATAAAACCAATGATCATATATATATTTAATATTGTCCAAAAATAATGGATCGAAAATGTATTGATTAATACTAACGGCATATAGGACACTTAAAATCTCCAACTTTCCCTTGAGAGCCCATGTAGAAATATTCCTGTCCATAATGAAACATAAAATAATCGACTGGATAGCACTAAATAAAGACATGGTGGCCGTGCTAGAATATTGATACGGATATTTGTTTCCAATCCGTGTTTGAATAAGAAACCATGAAGACCAGCACACGCTGCCTGCACATAGATATAGAGAACCAATAATGCTCCACCCGGCAGCTTTTGTGCTATGTTGAGGTTGAGATCGGGAGTTTCTCATGATTAATGGCATCCCTTTGTAAAGTATTAGTATTAATGCTCCGCCTAGACACGTTAATATGCCTAACACCGTAGCTTTCCCTCTCTTTCTTTTCAGGTTAACTTTCTCCACCCTGTAAGCAACACGATACCATGGTAGGAACCTTGTTCAAAAAACTTAAATTTATTATTCAATTATAGTAGAAGAATAAAGCTTGAAATTATGAAACTTGAATTCTTAATCCAAGTTTTCAAATACTTTGGTCAAAAGTCTTTGTAAAGTTTTTTCATTTTATTAAAAATTAAAATGAGAAAATTTATGGACTTTCTAAAATGTTTCTAGAGTTCAAAACGAAAACGCTAAGGGCTCGTTCTCTTTGCTATTTTCAAGTCATTTTCTATTTTCGATTTTTCAAAATAATGAAAACGCGTTCTCTTTCCTATTTTCGAAAACTCGTTTTTGAAAACAAATTAAAAATTTACAAAGAAAACCCAAAACGACAAATTTGTCGTTTTGGGTATTTTCAGTTATAATCAAACTAAAATTTTCAAAACGAGTTTTTAGTGTTTTCAAAACAATTTTTCAAAATATCAAAAAGAACACATTTTCAATAATTTCAAAATTAACACCCAAAACACAAAACCCAAAATAAATTCAAAACATAAAATTGAAATACAAAAAGAACAGACCCTAACATTTTAAAAGTTTCCGTGTATCCTAAATAAGCAATTGAATATTAATTAACTTACCTGAATGGCAATGCCATAATAAATGTAATTACAGGCACCATATTGATAAAAGCGCACATGAACGTATTTGATGTATATTTCAGCCCAACCAAGAACAAATATTGACAAAGTGTCAACCTGCATCGAAAATATTGAACATTTTTTTATAGATCACAATCTAAGTTGCATGGAACACAACGTTGTTTTTGAAAGCAAATATATGTCTTCAAACAAGTTTGTGAACAACATAGATTGCAATATGGAAAACGAACATTAAATATTTAGCTTACTCACCCAATCAAAGCACAAAGAAACATCTGACCCATCAACCAAGGTGTCAGCTTATTCCAACTTCCCCTGAAATTTTAGGGTTTTTCTTATATTTGCTAATATAGTTGAAATCGCCGTTAAATCATATTATATACTTAGTTTACTTACTTACCTCTCCCATAAATAGGCTAATGGGATCAAGAAGATGGTGGAGATTGATTGTCTATAGGCAACAATGATCATATGGTTCATCCCTCGTTCGAGTACCATCTTGAATAGAATATTTATCGTCGCTAAAACAAATTGAACAGTCACCATTGCAAAGACTTGCTTCCACCTCTCAATATACTTCATCTTGGCAATATAATCTTCTTTGAGGTTGAGAGAAAACTGTGTCCCAACTAAGAAAATTTATGTTCGAAAATTTCTTCTTCATTGCATTTTATTCCCGTCGCTGGAGAGTGGAGACCTGGAATCCATTCCTTCACTTAATGTGAATATATAGATATATTCTATATTCTACAGAGTCAGTCCCAGACCTCATAAACTTGATGGAATATGAATATATGATGCTCGCCTAACGGTTACATCTTACCAAATTAAGTACGGGACATGATACAACACGCGATATAAAACTAACATTAAGCCCATGTTTGGTGCAGATTTTTAGTAAATTTTGATAAAAGTTAATGAATTTTTTTATTAAAATTGTGTGTCTATGAAATGTGTGGTTATAGTTAATCATTAACTTCGACTTGAACTTTTAATCCACACCAAACAAGGGCTAAGTTAAACCCTAAAACTTGTTAATTTTATTATAGCATAATAATTAAAGTCTGAAATTACATTAGTTATTTGGCATGGATAAATCACTTCTCAGTTGAAGCTCACAAAAAAGTCCATAGTAAATGTACAATTTTTAATCCACGTTTTCAAGTATATTGTTCAATAGTTTTCCTAAGAGTCGAGGTTTTTAAACTTCATTAAAAATTTTGAAAGATGGAATTTATTTGGAAGCTTCGGATATCTTTCCAAAGGGTTTTTGAAGAATTTTGATTTTCGAAATGTATCCAAAACGGAAACGCTAGTATCTTACAAGTTTTAAGTACAACCTTTCATAAATGTGACAGTCACGTCAACAACCTTTCATTTGTAGCAGTCATGTCCTAACATTTTAACATTGTGTATGCAGAGTCCCCACCGAATAGAAAATGTCTAATTTAATGTTAAATGTTCATGGAAGACGCATGTAATGTCTTACTGAAAGATAAAATTGTTTGAAAAAGATTTATGAAATGACTCGGTCTTTGTGCTCAAGTTGTTAACTTACATACCCTCAAATTTAAAAAACTATAAGTTCATCTTTCCTATCATGACTTTATCCAAGATTCAAATCTATGACATTTCCCTTAAGAGATACTTAAGTTGAATGTTAGTACCAATGAACAAGTTGCCTAATTGGTACCGGACTCAACTTAAGTCTATTTTAAGGGAAAGTCGTGTGTTCGAATTTTGGGGACGATAGAAATCTGTAAGGGTAAAATGGGCTCAAACTCTCCCAATATGGATAATACATAAAAGAATGACCGAGCACGAGGCTTGGGTCGTTACAAATTTTTTGTAACAACATAATCTCTATACCTAAATCGTTAGCATACGTACTGTCTACTCTGAAAAGAGTTTTGTCCTACTTTACCCCTCACGAATTTCTATTGCGTCCCAGGATTCGAACCCATGATATTTCCCTTAAAAGAGACCGGTCATGGGTTCGAATTTTGGAGACGCGACAGAAATCTGTGAGAGTAAGAGATAAGATTTTCTTCTATGGCGGATAGTACATAAGTTAACGACTTAAACATAGAGTCCGAATTGTTACGAAAAATCCGCATTTTTTTGTAACTATTCGACCTTTGTGCCCAATCCATTAAGCCTCAAGGGTCAAGATGAATTCAGACTCTTCCATAGTTGATAGTATGTAAGTTAACGACTTGGGTACATGGGCCTGGTCGTTACAACTTCTTTATTTCAGAAATCAAATGGTGAATGCTCAAATTACAAATGTTGGTCCTTTTTAAATAATTTTACTTTTTCAATCAAACATTCACATATTCATTTATTGACTAAATAGAAGTCTCTTTCAAGATGAAGTTACCGTGTCTATAATATTAAAAAGTTGGAGATCTCTAGAGGAATTTATCCATAAAAAGAGCTTTAAGCATATATACAAAAGTGGGTGATTTGAAGGCGCATCACTTCCATCCGTGGCATCGAACACATTATTGGGGAATAGAAAGCAGTTTCTCTGTTTCTACAGTCACCAAAATTGGTAAGTGGGATTTGGGAACAATATGTCTAATCTTAAATTTCCTTTTTGGTCAGGTACAATGAAGAAATAAGTGCTGCACAATGTTTCATCTACGTCGAGTGCTTGCTTGCTAACATGTTTGGGTGGCTTATATTAAAAATAATCTTTAAATCTATAGTATCTGTTCGATATAATTTTATTTTTTTAGAATAGATTTTTTGAAAAATTATAGTAAAGGAAAGTCATGGAGATACGCATAAAATTATTTTATTTAAAGAATGTATATTTGAAAATGAGTTTAAAATAAACGAATTTGAAAAAAATCGAAATCAAACTCGAAAATAGTTTGCTTCGATTTATTTTGAATGCAGGTAGGTCCTCTTAATAATGAACTAACACATCCGGTGCTTGTTTTCAATCAAATTCACCCCAAACATGTTCTAATCTTAAAAGTGATTTTAAAAAGTGAAATTTCAAGAAATGTGTGGATAAAAGTAGGGTTTGATTGACTCATAAGTAATATGAACATTGTCAAACATGCACTTAATTTTTAAGTTAATTAGGAGTTTTTTTTAAGGAAAAAGAATAAATCTTAATGCAAGAATAACATCACCACATAGGCAAAATAAATTTTTGATGTCGAATTTTAGTATTTTTCTTGAAAATGACCCTAAAAGATTTTGTCTAAAGTTCTCAAATTGTATGAGTCGATTCAAAAAATTTATATGCAGAAAGATACTTCAGTAAATAGAGCCATCTCTAAATATCAACCGTTACAAATAGAGCATAAATGATGGTACGAGCTAATATGGCAGGCAATGGAGAAGGAAGTTAAAACGTGGAGACTTTCTAGCGAGGAGAGAATTTAGGGTCCGTTTAATCGTAAGAGTGGAATTTGAGTGTAAAGAAAATGAATTCCAATGAATTGAATTGTCTAGAATTGATTTTCTGAGAATTGTCAATTAATTGTGTTTGATTAGTATAATTTTCCACGTGAAAAATATTGAAATTTTAGATCTTTCGATATTCGTTTGATTTTGTTTTATATGAAAATTATCCATTAAAGGGGTAGAATTTATTATAATTGGCGATAAAATTTGTTTCCATTACAAAAAAAAATATTTTTTAAAAAATTAAAAATAAACTGTAAACTGGAAAATGAATCCCACCAAATTGGTGGGAATTGATTTTCCACAAAATCATTGAATTGGCGTGTGTCTGAGACAAAAGCAAGAAAATGAATTGGCAAGAAAATGATGCCAATAAAACACTCATTTTGGAAAAAGATGGAATTCCATTTCCAATTCCATGGAAAGTTGGACAAATCAAACATGCCCTTAGGGCAAAGTATTTAGGTCCCTTTCGGTTTGTTTGGTATGCTGCATAGAATTTGGGTAGATAAAGATTATGATTGTTCTAATACAATGTTTAATATTACGTCGTAATAGTAAAAGAACAAGTATTGAAATATAAAAAAAGTTGTTACAATAATTTTATTTATAAATAATTTCTTTACTTGTACGTAAATTTATTCATAAGTGAATTTGTTACTTAAAAGTAAATTTTCCTTATTAGTGTGTTATGATTTTTTTAGTTACAAGTTACTTTTTTACTTAAAAGTTATTTTTTTAACTTCTGAGTAAATTTTTTATTACAAGCGATTTTTTACGTCCTTATTTGACAACTATTCTTTCAAAACTTTTTTTTCCTCATACTCATTTTCAACTACACATTCTCACAATAAAATATTCTTCATATAATGATTTTTTTAGTTACAAGTTACTTTTTTACTTAAAAGTTATTTTTTAACTTCTGAGTAAATTTTTTATTACAAGCGATTTTTTACATCCTTATTTGACAACTATTCTTTCAAAACTTTTTTTTCCTCATACTCATTTTCAACTACACATTCTCACAATAAAATATTCTTCATATAAACCAAAAAAAAATTCCTACATTTTAACCACACATTATCCAAAAATTTACTATTCAAAAACTCATTCTACATAAAAAAAAAAAAAAAAAAGACTGTCTAACAAGGGCGTAAAAGATATTTTGTAACTTATATGTAATTCTTGTACTCACAAGTGTTTTTTCTACTTATAAGTGAAATTTTACTCAAGAGTAATATTTTTTTACTGACAAACAATCTCTAAATTATCAAAACACTAGGGATGTAAAATCAGATTGTTAGCCAATGAAGAATTAAAGATTGAAATCAATACTTTTTCTATTAATAATTCCTTGGAATCTTCTTTCTTTAGAAGAAGGGCCTTGTGGATTCAGAATAAGGGTGTTAAGTTTCTTCTCGACTCGACTCGACTCACCCTACAAACAAGTTGAGCGTGCTCAGGTGGGCATTTCAAATTTGAAATTTTGGTTTTTTATTTTTTAATTTTTTTTGGAATTCAGGATCTGCAAATATTAAATAGGGACGTGGTAAATCAATTTCATCTCTTCTTAGAATTTTCTGCAATCTCATTAATGTACCACTCATCTCTTTAGCAGTATAATTTTGCAATTGTTATATATTTGTTCATTATTTTATGATTATTTCTTCAATTCCAACTTTCTTCGTATAAATTATTTCTAGTATTTGTAGTTCCAATACTAGCGTCTACGATTTTTCTGAAGCATACGTTGTTTTCAAATTGAGAAACGCCTGTACTATCGATCCTACAACCATTGATCCCAAGACGATTTTGAAGAACTAGTCTCTACAATGAGATAAAAAAGAAGGCAAAAGCTTATAAGCTTACTTCGGAATATTGGAAACACTTCAAAAAAAAAAAAAAAATCCTTTTTAGAATGAAAGCAGATTATGAGAACATATTGTAATTACTGTGAAAAGGACTTTACTTTAAAATAAAAAATTGGTTTCACTTGGTACAATAAGCATTACAATTTTTCTTTCCTTATTGGTGCTGTCGACAATATGTATGTTTAACTTCAATTTGGTTTAGGCGAAAGACCTTTCTGAACTAGTTCTTATAAACTGAGTTTATAAACAGGGACAATGCAGGAAGGCATAGTAATGTTCGTAGCTTAT